GCCTAAATCGGCCTAATTAATAATGCGTCAAATTGGAACACCGGAGAAACTGTGACCAAAATATTATTTAATATCCCACCGCCATTACTTTCGGCGAGGACTGTATTTTTTTATTAATTAAGACGCAATGATATTATTTAATAAACTCTGTTACATTTTCTATAGTTTAGGGATGGTGACGGTTCTATCAGTTCTAAATCGGTTTCAAATCGGTTATACTTCGACTCTCTTAATTAAATTAAAACTATTAAAACTTTGAATGTTAAGTTTAAATTTATACTAATAGAGCATCATGTGATGATCAATTTAAAATTTTTTTTTTTCTATTATTATCTTTGATGACAATCCGATTTTGAGTCGACTCTTGGAGTCGGTTCCGGTTCGATTTTTAAAATTGGTTAAAAGTGGTTTATAAATCAGGAAAACCCAGATATGCTGAATTTATAATCGATTCCAATTCCAGAATTGACTCGGAGTTGCTCTTTTTGAACCGCTATCCCTAGTATAATATTTGATGACTTGTCGTGTCTCTAACTATACAACTTTTGTCTCATTATACTTTTATCAAAATGTTTACAAGCACTACTTCTGCCAATCCCTCTGTCGAAGACGTAAAAAGATTTGATACGAACCAACTTGTTACTTATTTACAGTCTTATTTGCAAGGAAAGAACTTGACACTAAATGACTCTGAAATTCTAAAATTTCATGATGAAGAGATTAATGGCTATGTCTTTCTTAGTTTAACTGATGATTTGTTTACAAGTTTTGGCCTTTCATTTGGAAAAAGGTTGATGCTTATTATTTTAATTAATGATTTGAATAGTCAAAGTAAGTTCTATCATAACAAACAGATGTCTTTCGTAGCAGTATTTTTGTAGTATTTACTTAACCCAAATTTTTTTTTTTTAGGGGGTATTAGTCTAAAACAAGCATTATCGTATATTCCGCCACCTATTAGTTATTCTGACAAAGCGATAAACAACCACTACAATTTCAGGTGATATAAATCCAACGGAACTTGGTCATTGGAATGACCTTTTCGATGAAGTGAACCAGTTTAATCAAAATTTGAAAGACCGCAATTTACCCGGTTTGCACCTTTGGTAAATGAAGAGGCCGTTCATTCTGTTTTTGATGCAAATATTTGTCAAGTATTAAATAAATTGTTGATTCCGGATTATATAATTGAAAGAAGGTCAGATTATATCGTTGGTAATCTGAATTTCGCTGTCAACTTTGCTTCAGACCAATTGGTCATGCCAATTGAAGTCAAACGAGGGCACGTTTTAGATGCGATTTTAAGAATGATTGACGTACTCCATGATTCGGAACATATTTGTAAGGAAACAGATAAAGTTATTTGACAGATCTTTACCTACATGTCAGAAGCTTGTTGTCAGTATAGAATAATCTCAACTTATGAAAACCACTGGTTCTTGTACTGACCAAGGGATTCCCCTTCAAAACTTTTTATTTCAGATCCTTTTACGTTAGAGTCAACATCACCAATGATTCTTGAGACGCGCGCATATGTGATTATGCAGTTATGCAGGGACTATTATTACCACCATCCGAATGTAATTGATGATAGGACAGTCACTCAGCGCTCTACTTGATCAAATGTCTAAACAAAATGTATCAAAATTTTTTTCTACTGAAGGATCATCTTCTAATGCAACGAGTTCTAACAAAAAGAGGTCAATGAGATCTAGTACGGCAAAAAATCAGAAAGGCCAGGATAGTGCTCAGAATTTTAGCTTCATGGACTTCACGATAAAGGGTCTATTAGGCTGAAGTCGAAGTGGAAAGACATTCCTATGCGAATATCGCAGAAATACAATTGCCTTAAAGGGTACAGATCTATCAAAAGCCCCATCATATGTTTTGAAAGAAATGCTGAACGAAGTTGAAATCTATAAAATTCTTGCAGATATCCAAGGAAAATGCATTTCAAAATTAGTGTGTCATGGTTACTATGGGGGTGAAATGTACTATGTTATTGGTACAACTCTTTTCGGTATCTCTTTAAATAAGTTTAAGCTAATAACGGAACGACAAAGAAAAAATGCTCTTATTGCACTAGAATCAATTCATAATCATGGTGTGCTTCATAATGATATTCGAAAGGAAAATATTTTGTTTGATAACAATACTGATGGTGCATACTTGATTGACTTTGGGATGGCATGTTATTATCCTTATACTAAAGAAAAGTTATTTGATGAAGAGAGACTTAACTTGTCTCGTTTATTAGATCATTTAGAACTTTTATTAGAGTTTGTATTTAGCATTCTGATGCAGTTACGAGAACCATAATGTATTGCAAAATTTTATAACCATTTATATCCATTAATGATAAAACTTGTTTTATCGCAATAATATAAAATAATAAAATAATTGAAGAAAAAACACCCTCATTGATCGTTACACATGCGAAAATTAACATTTTTTTTTTATTCAGATTTGCTACTATGTAGGGTGTCCAGAAATATGTGGTGGTAAATCTCAAAATATGTATGTGCTAATAAATAAAATATGTGATAATATGTGTTCATAATTCTGGTAAAAATTATGATTAAATTTTTAAATTTTAGGTAAAATTATTAAAGTAAAAAT